GACCAAAAAATGCCCCCCCAGCCTCCCCTGATTGCGGGATCGAATCTCGCTAAACGAGGGAGGGTGAAAAATTTCGCAGCGGTGTGGGGAACACCCGCGATACATTTTTTTCCCCAACATTATCCATGCCTTACTAACTATACGTTTTGTAATTATTAATTATTATTTTATTCATTTATTTTTTTGCATTTTTTAAATGAATCTTGTAATTTTTGATAGTGATTAGACAACGTTCGGTTTCGTCGGTTATATAACGACTTTATTTTGGTGCTTTTGTTTTTACAAAACTTTTCATATATTTGTGTTATGCAGACTCAATACTTGGACATCACTTACTATGTATATATACATCAATCAAGAAATAAACAAAAATATTTAAAATTCTAATCAATTGACTCTGTATAGAAATTTATTACGTAAATAATAGAAGATTTAAAAACAATTAATATAACTTTATCCTATACACAAAAAAATAATAATAAACAATTGTCTAAGCTTCAGGAACATTAAATAGAAACTCAATATATACATCGAGCCTAACAAAAGCACCGTCGTAGCTCGTAGCCCGTAGCTCGTAGTACTACGCCGTAGACGCCTACGACAAATAATATCTTGGTGCCCTTCATTACTTGGAGAGATTGATTCATAAAAATTTACTAAGAATAACTTCTCTATGAAGAATATTTAATAATCAATTATTCTATATATATATATGACATTAATACAATTATTTTATTTAATGGGTCGTTGTATTCTGTGAGACAAGTCAATTACACAAACATCAGAACCTCAATATTAAAAGGTTTTAAATTGATATTGACAGAGGTTTTAATCAATTATAGAACGAACTCTAAATGAGGCGGTTAATGTTGAACTATGGTTAAAATGAGACGTCTAACGTACGTTAGATGAGTGGCAGTTAAATACTGTGCAAACAATAATTTAATATGACTATTTTAATTTTAAAAAATACATATAAATCACGTTTATATTTGATATATAGCGAGTAGAGTCGGGATAATTAATGTGTATTAATACAATAATAGTTTGAAATATACTTAGTAATTATTAATTTAGAAGAAAATTTAAGTTGTATAGAATATGTCTAAGTTTGAAATCTATGTTTTTAACTATTTTATATTATACTAATTAATCATATTTATGTAAACTAAACTCAAAATATATAATATGTATACAATTATTATTATTATAATCTACTTGGCAGATATTAAATGTTTCTACGTCTGATTTAAATGTAAATTTTGCATATATTAAGAAAATGTACATATTCATTAATTAGTCTTTGCTACTTTTTGGGATTTTTTTTTTATAATATATAATAAACCATAACGTAGCATTTTCTTTAACATATTCCTTATTTTTAATACATAGTCTAAATTCGGGCCTCCAAGTTACAATACTCCCTAACACAATATATATATATAATTTTTCCGACCTAACAGCCAGATTTGGTAATCATTCCATGAGGTTATCCTCAATAAATAACCTAATTTCTTTCAAAAAGAAATTTCTTATAACATGCAAATAGAAATAAAGAAAACATATCGACAAAACTATAATAAATATCCCTGCGACTGAACCAGAGAGGAATCAAAAATGTATGTTTACTTGTAACATAAGATATGCCATGACCGGCTGCCGATACACGAATAATATACGGGGAACATTAAATATTGATGGGAACTGGAGGGAGGACGGGGGAGGAAGTTTGAGGAACTCGGAGGATTCGGGGGAGTTCACTTGTTTATTAGAAATTACAGATTTTATTTGTTTGATTGATCGCCTTCGTTTTATTAAGTTTATGTTCTGTTCTCAAGTAACGCTGAGATTAATTAACAGTTCGCGGGGTGAGGGATACACTTCACTCTATGTTTGTGCTTTTGGAATGTATTATGAGTGATTCAAAACCTTACAACCTTAAATGAATATAGAAGATGTATTTGAAAAGCATTTCTATTGCTAACTGACCGTCAAAAAAAAGATGATCGTAGTTATATAAGGATTCATTTCCTCTAGTTTAGTTTATTTATTGTGAGAACAAATCCCAATAGTTTTAATTCTCAGTACGTAACTATAAACCGGTCAATCACTAAGTACCTCCAGTACATCGCCTGTAATCAAGACACTCGCTCGCCGCCATCATCCAGCTCATAATTGAAGCCAAACATAATCATACATAAAACAGCCGAGCGCCATAATGTGAAATTTCCCTCACACCAAAAATTTCACGCAAAAAAGCGTTGTCCAATCGAACGGTTGAAAAAAAAATACCCAATTGTATAATGACATCACATTTAAACATGCGGAGCGGGTGTGTGAGGCGGGCTGATTAAAAAACATGACATGCGCAGAGTCATTTAAAAACTACCCCGGGGTGGATTAATTTTTAAGTATTGATTATAAATGCGTGTGTCGTCATGGCGGAGGCTCCACACGGCTCCACACAGCCTCCCACTGACTTAGTCACGCACTCTGATACTGCTACTGACTCTCAAGTAGATTAGATACTAGTCTTATAGACGATACTCAAACATATAGTTTAGTTTAATGATTTTTGTATATGTTAAAGAATGTTTCTCGTGAGTCATATTTGATAAATAATAAGTTTAACTTCAATTAAACCTTCCATTATAAGAACTTGTATGAATCTAAGTCCTTATGAAATAAAATTTAAAATATATTATACATCAAGACTGTCTTTCCTTATTTATATTTTTATCTAATAAACTTCGTCTAGTTTTCTCTGTATAATATCTTAATACTCTTAATCTTTATATATATATTTTCTATAGTTAAACTTCTTATTTATGTATGTATATGTATATATATTGTTTTGTACGTCCGTATCAATATAATATATTAATCTGTCCTGATTGTATGAATATGTAAAATGCTTATTCAGATGCGGGCTGTGCCTCGTCGTCATCGGCAGTTCGATCACGTGTCTCCCTAATTTCCTGATCTCGTTTCACTAAAAAATACCGTAATATATTAAACACACACACACACACACACACATTTACACACAGACACACACACATAACAGTACGGTTATATCCTAATACCGAAAATTTAAACCACTGTGAAATCAAAGAATATTACAAATTCATATCCATATGTTACTTCTAAACAGCGAAAATGCTGAACCGATTACAATGAAATTGACTATTAATGTAGATAGATCTTTAGAGTAGGACATAGGCTAGGTATAACTGATTACAGTCAAAATAAAAAGTAATTACATAGAAGCAAGTAATAATTATGTTAATATACTTCATAAATAAACTTAGTTAATATAGGTTTTTAACCGAATAATGTTATATGAGAGTGTTTACTACATATATATATTTCTTGGTACTGTTATTTGTGTTACAACTAATAATATGAGACGCTGTCAAAATAATGAGAAGTCAGGAAACGTCGCGACAACGACACATTTAACAATGTTGTAAGAACCTGTGACGACACACAATGAAATACAGATATCGGTTAAAATAACAAAAAAAAATAACTCACACAGACCTGAACTAGACTAATCATCAATCAAATAATGTATATATTATTAACGGCGCCAATTCATTATAATGACACAAATAAGGAATGCAGGAGCGGCAGGACGTCGGCACAACATTAAAATTACATTCCAATAAGTCGACACAAACGTAAACAGCGGCCTGCGTCTATAGACACGTAGATAGATGTAGATAGAATTAGAAAACGAGGAGAGGGAAAATTTTACGAACTAAACAGCTAACACCCGCATGTGGGGTATAATTTAAAAATACGCAAAATACGGCCACTTCTAACGGGGGGGGCGCGGGTGTACCCCAGCCCCCGGTTTTGCGTATTTTTCGGTATGCGTGGCAGGTGGCGCCCCCTCGCGGGGGGTTCGTTAAAAAGCACCCGAGTACGTAGTATTATAAAAGTTGCGCCTACCGCGTGTAAGTAGTGGCGTGGGCTGGGGAGGCCCCCTCCGCCCCCCCCCCTAGTTAGACAGTTAAAAGTATGCGGTATTAACGGAACGGAAATGAATATAGGAGTAGGTAGCTACCAGTTTTTGGGAGGCTGTGTGACGCCGCGGGTTAGATTACGAGAATACTTGGGCCTTTATTTTGTTTTTTTTCTCGTGCGGGTCTTTTTGTGCGGCTCGGGGAGGGTTAGGGTTTGTTTAGAGTTGCTATCTACTTCGTTATGCGGCGATAGGCTCGCTCTGAGTGGCGAGTTGTGTTGTTATAATGTTATCTGGGATTCTTTATTACCTTTGAATCGAGCGTGTTCACTAATAGATTTTACTTTCATACTACAAAACTTCTATTGTTTATTAATAGTAGCTTTAGCAAGCGGTCCACAATAATCAAAAAGGGAAACGAACTTAAAAAATATGTACATATGTATATTAATTATAAAAGTTTTTAAAAATAATATCCAAATCTTAATAGCAATATCGTAGTGACGACACAAATATAATTTAAACGCCTGCCAGTTTTATTAGAGCAACACATCGGTCGGTCATAAAGGAAATTGCGTCGAAATTTTTGTAAGGCGCTCCTCGGTCAAGACATCGATTTAAACGATTGGCCCAGTGCCCTCGGCGGCAGTAGGGTCTTTATCCTTGAGATGCCTCGCATATTATAATTAGCATTTGTAAGCCTATTTTTCTTATTGTCAAATATTAATATTTTGAATGTAATAGAGTAGGGAAAAATTTTAATAAATTGTACTTAAGTTTAAAGTAAGGAAAGAAATATATTTTGAAATGCTCTGTGAGTACAATACAATAATTTACAAATGATATACATGAATATTTAGTAATAATTTACGAGATAAAGTCTCCGCAAACGTCCTTAATAAAGTTATTCAAATGCAAAACCATTTCTCAAACAAACTAATCAATACAGCGGCACGTACATCATAAAAAATGTACAGAATTTAGGCAGAAGTATCCATAAAAGGCGAACGGTTAATATTTGTGGTTTACGATGGGCACACTAGATAGTAAACCGCGGATTGAGGGCCGCATCAGCAATACGGATCTGTTAACAATGAACGGCCACCACACCGCGCCGGACGAGCCATCAGAACAAACAATATGTACAGGAAGATCTACTCTCATCAAGAATACGGCTCGAGACCGCTCACGAATACACCGAAAATACCCAGTTATGATTAATTCCGAATGCGCCTCGCATTGATCAAGGAACCAGGGCTTTTTACTTCAAACTACACCCCTCCGCCCCCCTCCGCGACCACCGACACCCCCTCCCGCCAAGACACCCCCTACACCAGGGTGAGAGCGAGACTAATGCAGCGTCCGATCTCTCGCTCTAAAACAAAGATGCTAAAACTTCTTTCGCTAGTATGAAGATTTTAATTTCATATTTTTGACGAAACGGTTCTAATTTTAGATGAACGACATCCGAAATACGACCTTAATGTATTTATATAGAGTCCAGAGTCTTCCGGCGCGCCGCAGCACTTGCTCCCGTCTTCTAATGCAGAATTAGTTTCCGAAGTGAAAAGATACAGCGCGGAGAGAGCGCGCGCGTTCATATATTTAGACTTTAGAAACATAACTATAAAGAATACATTCGCTTGGTCGCGCTCACAAGAAATAATTCTCCAGTCGTACCCCGAAATTAGTGGAATAAGGGGAAAGGGGTTAGGACGGGAGGCTTTAAAAGAAGAGGCAAAAAGGTGGGGAGAGAAAGATGCGCAAAGACTTAGTTGGCGAGGGTGGCGGGCGTTATAAAATATATAATTCTATACTTACAATACTTGTAAATACGCCATGCGGAAGTACGGCGGCGGAGCCTTCTTGAACTACCGCTTATACTACTCACAGTGACGCTTCCGCACAGTATAGTGGTGCCCCGCGGACGCGGCCGACCTACTCGCAACTTAGAAGCGGGTTTAACACTCGATGCAATAAAAACTTACAATTCTATTGTGCCGCTTGTGGAGTATAAGTTTGAAAAACTATTTAAAAGTCGCTTTATAACAAGCATTGACACTGATAACTTGAGGATAACTTTAAAATACATCTGATACCTAGTTCAATATAATCTGTATATATAAAAGAAAGTCGTGTTAATTACACTATTTATAACTCAAGAACTATAGGGATATGATTGAAATTTGGTGAATAAAATAACTTAGAACTAGGAGTTAATTATATGTATTACTTATTCCAAAATTAACGCGGACAAAATCGCGAGTAAAAACTAGTTTAGTATATAAAAAATATTACGTTGCAAGTTATTAAAGTATCAAGATATTCTTAGAGGCAGTCGCGCTACATTCGCTGATATTTAGTCGCGAAACTGGGATGTATTATAAGAGGTAGTTGTTTAAAATGAGAGCTTCACGTGCTGGGACGGGCCGGGGTTCGATTACCGGGAATACGAAAATATATTACGTGTTAGAATATACAGCCTACTATGTTATGATGACTTACATACTGATGTTGAACTTAGGAGTGTAGAAGTAATTAAATGTTAAGATATATTAAATGAACTTATGAGTTTAAATGTAACTTATATATGTATGTGTATATCATATTAAATGTATGTCTTTGTATATTTTCGTCGTTTCTTCCTGATGAAGCTACATTAATTTATTTCCATTTGAATTCCTAGTTACAGAAAACTTACAGAGGGTGTCACTGCCTACCAGCTACGGTCTACGTGTACGAGGCTTTAATTAATATTATAAATTAGTTTGTTTTGTTTCAATATACATTAGTTTTTGCGTCTTCTCCAAGTATATCTTAAAGTCAGTTCGGCGTTGCGTCAACAGAACAATGTAATATACATAAAAGGTTCATTCTGAACGCATGGTGATATTAAAAACCCCCATCTCGAGATCACCCCAAAAACTTGAAAGTTCATTACCCCGGCACTATCTAAGACGGGCCCCGGGGGACGCGGGGGGGCGCGCGGGGGGACTCATTTATCAATATATGAAGGCTGTTTCTTTAAAGGAATTATTTTCTAAGAATCCTGAGGGGGACTTTTCATTTCCGCGAGATGATTAGCGTCTGTGTGTGTGTGTACGTTTGTGTTTACATCACTGTGTGTGTGTGTGTGTGTGTGTGTGTATTATAATTTGTTTCGTATATTTTGTGAGGTAATTGTATTAGTTTTCGTTGTTGCCTCCCCGTCGTAATGAAATCACTGTCTTCATAGAAAATACTCAACTCTAAGATTTATATTGAATGTTAGTATTCTATAAACATTGACTATTACAACAAACACTGGTTCAATATAAACTATAAATAAAACGTACAACTTAAAATGTTATTATAGTTATAAAATCCGTTATAAAACCTCAAAATAGAGCCTCCCGAAAAAAAGCCGATCCCCCATTCTAAAAAAGTAATGGCTGACTCTAAAACAAATCTATAAAAAGATATCGGGCGCTTGCTGTAAAACATCTGCATAGACGCACTAACACAAATAACGAATAAACTAAGTAATATAAAACTAAGAAACATCACCGTCTTACCCCCGCGCGCCCCCCACCACCACACACACCCCCCCGGGGGGTAATTTCCCCCCGAACTTACTAAAATACTAAAAACGAAGATACGGAGGGAGTCTCCCCCGTCTTTATGCAAGATGCTTATATTTTAACCTAAATGTTTGAGATTCGGCGCTGTTTGACTCGCTCCAAAAAATATATGACGCCGCGGGTTTAGACTTTAGAGACATGCTACCACGTGTACACGAGACTTTAAATATACACTTAATATATGTGTTAGTACAGGGAGAGCAAAAACTGATTAATATTAGGAAGTACACCTCAATGGACGGCGTGGACAGAAAACAAAACGTTTCGAGCGGAATATATAAAAAAAAAATCAATAACATTGACAGGAGAGCGTGTGAACAGAATTAACTAGGTTTTTTTTTCGGGGGCGATCTTTATTTGCTTTGGCAGAACTAGTGAAAGCGAAAGCCTGAAAAATATACGTCACTATTCCTATCGTACGGCCGTCGGATGGAAAAAAAAAAAACGGGAAAAAATGTCCGGCGAGAGCGAGAGTTCTATTTTCAAATTGCCCGCGCTCACTGGACTTTATATTTTTTTTATTTGCACCGTCCGGACACGTTTGTTTACAAACAATATTAAACACTATTGATATTTTATATATTTAAAAACAATATGACTATTTATTATATAAGTTATAATAGTAATTCTATTATTAATATTATATTAAATATATGTGACGTGTCCGACATGTTAAGAATCGTCTTGACACGAGACACGACGGGCTTAAAGAACACCTGCCTTAGTCTTTAACATAATTAATTGTCTGGAAGAATTTCATTAATAAATAATTATATTTCAATAATTATTATTATTTAGCTAGTTTATTATAACATAATATATAATCTGTATTTTTTATTATATTTATCTATATTTATATATTTAATACATCTATATTTATATATTTATCACAAATGTTTCTTTCTGTTAGCAAATGAGAATTAAAGATTTTAGGAGTATTTGAAATGGAATTAAGATTCAAATTATTGATAGAGATATAAAATATATCACAAACTGGAATAGAACCTAAGACTAGAGTTTTGAAACTGAAAATCTTAGATTTTAATTATTATTGTATTTTATCAACGATGGACATATAAAAAGTACTAATACTGAATTAATAAAATATGTCTGTTAGACACAAACATGGCGCTCTACTTCAATGACGATAAATAAATAAAAAGCCTTAACAAATCCAATACCGATATTTAATTATGGGCTCGTATTATTCGCTCCAAGTTTTCCCGAAATTATGTAAAGTCCACGTAATAAAGAGAACCCAAATAAGTACATAGCCACATTGATTACTGTGCAATGAGACCTGCTTATGTACTACACGTACCTAGAGTATTAAAACAGAGAGGCGGGTACAGTACATAGAAAAAAAAAGTAAATAGTGATAAAAAGCCGCATTTTATTATGAGCCGATCAGATGAGAGGAAATTTCGTTTGTTTGTATTGAAGTTGACACAGGGTGGTCTTGGAGGCGAGCAAATAATATTTTTTTTGGGTATTTATATTTAAAAAAATGTATTTAATTCTTATATTGTTATGAAAATTATATAAATCATTATGAAAACTAATACAAGTGCATTTAACAGGTTTAAGTTTGAATAGTATTTGATAATCAGCGTAGAAATACTACAATAGACTCTAACTTTCAGAATCTTTCAAGACAACCTGTATTAACATAAACAAAGTTAGCATGTATACAAACTTTTTGTAACGAACCTCATTGAAATTTAAAAAATTTAAATTTCGAACATCCTTTAAAGTTCATGCATGTGTTCATTACACGGATGCACACAGGCGCATCTCGACGGGCGTGTGTGTGTGTGCGGGCGTGTACACACACGACACACATATACAGCACACGCACACACGCGCCACACAACGGGGTCACATCGGCTTTGTGATGCAACGAAATATATTACCAATCGACATTGGAAAGTTTAAAACATCTTGATCGACACGACATTAGGAGGTTTGACCTGTTTACTGAGAGCAGGTTACTCATGTACAATAATATTATAAATCATCTATTTAGATATATACATTAGTTTGTGTACGTGAAAGTCCTTGTATCGTTCATATTGAGATCGCCCCAGCATCACTAAACATCTGGGTCAGACTTTACTGCTCATTGTTTGATTTACTTATCAGGACACACAATTGACATGTATATGACGATCACTACAAGGACATATATATTATTTAACTATATATACATTATATATGTTATAAAACTACTAATTTTATATAAGTAGTTATTATAGTCTATTGCCAAAAATGCGAGTCTGTTCGTGAGCACGCATTAAAAATCCACAATCAATGTGCGTTTCAACGGCGCGGCAACTTTCTAAACCGTCCATATAAATTCATATGTAATTAAAAACAAAATGTCGCTTCGATTACTATGTTTCGATTACTATAACTTAATGTAATAAATTGATATCCATTGCATAAAATCGATTGCAGTTATAACCGGTTGTCTCGCGACCTTTGTTTTGAGTGCCGCTGTGTGCAATTTGCAAAAAAAAAACAAAAAAAAACCTTTTCATTTGAGTACGCAACGCACTTAACTCCTACATATATGGAATTGTTTTTGGAAATCAAATAATTTCATTGCCTTAATGTGGTACATTCAATATTAACATCATGTTGCAGTCATTAATGTTTTTTGAGTTTTTTGTATGTATGTTATTATACAATTTGTAAATTAAATAAATATGTTTTAAAGTATTTGCTGTATTATTATATGTGGCTGTATTATTTATAACTCTGTAGTATCGAGAGTGATCCTTCAACCTTTTTCAAGATATAATTTTTTCTTTAATTTGTACACAACTTTACCGGTTGACATTTCGGGAGGTTATGTTTGTCAGGCCCGGGCTGATTGTTAATAAATTACATTGAATTTAAGTGTGTCGAGTTCATCGTGTCATATTAAATGATGTTTTATGTAGGAAAGAACTAATTTAATTTGAAACAATGAACATATTGTATTTAAATGTAGCTACTAAATTCAGTTCTTCTACTAAAAATATTCAACGGTTTTTTGAAATAAAAATATAAAACTCGATTTCATTAAATTACTTAAAAATTAGAAAGTTCTATATTATGAATATTTTCTCAAAATATTAAAGCTGTTATCCTCAAAAGCGCAGTCGGTTAAACAACATTTCTAAGAACGCTTACATT